CTATCTCAAGCAAACTGTATCTTTAGGTCATTTAGAGAGGGTAGGCACTGATTTACATACTTCAATTAGTTTACTGTCTGATGATATCCTTGGTTATTTGTTGGTCTAGCTTTTTTTCGTTATTTACATCTTTTTATTGATTCATTCATTCATTCACCAGCTATTTATTCTTCTTCGTTTTTAACTATGGGCTTCGTGTTCATAGCTGCAAAAGGAGAGCGAGGCGATGATCGAAGTCACGGCAGTTCTTAGCAACATCATCATCCCTAACGAGCAATTGAACTTCAAACCTTCGAACTTTCGCTGAAATCTGTCATTATGCGACGGCGGAGCTCAAAGTTTACCATCTCTCCTTTCTTCTGTTTATTGTTAAAATTCATGCAACTTTGAAAGGGAGGTTATTTTTTTCTTCTTCTTCTTCTTCTTCCTATTACAGGTGAGAGATGCTAGCCACTGTCCACAGAAATTAGAAGACCCTCCAGTTATCAAGAAAAATTTATTTTACGCAATAGCCATTTGTATACTCACGATTATCTTTGCGGGACTCTCAAGGTATCGTTTATGAGACTTATGCAGTGCAGTTGTGAATGACTCTCTTTAATGATGTAGGTAACTGCTACACATAGTAATGATAAAAAGTAGTGGTGAAAGCCACTTTTTCGGAACCTTCACTCTCAAGGGGTTCATCTAAGGTCTCTCGAGAGGGATCACCTTGCCGGGGGATGAAAAGGTTAGAGATCGTGACAACAAGGGTAAGGAGGGTTGAAAAATCGGGGAGAATCTAACTCTGGCTGTCAAGGGAGACTCTAACCTAATGTTTAACGCGCCAAAATACTGGTTTAAAGGTCTGAGTCTGAGCCTTGGCAAGATCACTGTGTTGTGTTAATCAGGAGTTAGGAAGCTTTCTTCACCCGGGAGAATAAATGAATACCGCCGGGCCAACTATCAAGAAAACGTGACGAACCTTTAGAAGCGGGGAGGGGAGGGGGGAGTTTGCGATGGGTTCGCATCCCATCCTTGGGCTTGCAGAACTGCTAGTCGCTTCATGCTACAGAAACCGGAATGTGATCCGGCAATTAGTTAGGATCGAGAACAGACCTCAAGGCCTCTTAGCTTTGCGTTGGATATTGAGGGATACGAGAGATAAATGGAGCGGTACCCAATCGAAAGTGCGAACGGCAACGAAAATTCTCAAAAGTAACTGTTAAAGTTGGAGATAGGTCCTGTGTTGGCATAAACTGGCCACATGATAATTCACAAGAGTTTATGAATGTGCTGAACGTCTCTACCCAACTTTCGAGTAGTTTCCACACTTAGCTGGCAAGTGCCAAATCAGATCTAGAGCCATGGTCATTCTTCTCGTTAATGGCGAAACTCTCAATAGAGTTCTCTTTAGCTCGGGCTAGAGCCACGAAGCGCGAAATCCAAAGGCCTGAAGCTCGATTCTTCAAGGGGAATCAAACATTTTTTGTCTCCCACCTGTGACAACCAAGTACGTAATATACTTTTTTTTACCATTATTCTTTTCAGGCTCATTATCTTCATTCTCAAAATACTTTTAACCAAGATTGTGCTTCCACTGCTTGGAATAACCCTTCAGGCTCCCTCTAGCTCTGGTTCGAGCTTGCAACACACCAAGCACAAAAACAACAAAATCCTCAAAGCGGAATAACTGACTTGTGTATAAATACGACAAGGCAGGAGAGGAAAGAAATGTGATAATGCAGGAGACTGCCCACAAAATTTGAAATTTAACTGTTTATGTCGATATATTTTAATAATTTAATTGTTCCAATTTGTAATTTAAGTATTTTTTTTATACATTTTGAATCTCAATTCTTTGTATTTAAAACGTTTCAAATTGTGTTTTATCGACGGGGAATTAGAGGTCAATTATATTTATTGATTGGTTTTCAAGTGGAGAGAGCTACGCTCTTTAAAATTGAATTTCTTCTCAGCATTTATCAATTCAATTCCCATTTTTCTAAATTGTTTTGAAGTTTAGAAATTCTACATTTGAATATTTATATCAATCGAGTAATCAAAATTTTTCTTCGTCTTCATGGCTCGTTGCCTGCACGTGGCACAAAGACAAACAGAGCGCACCCTTTTGATCCGTTTAACTTCTCAGAAATGATTGATAGCCGTCCTTCTTAGGCGTTAAATATCTGCCTGTATATTAGTTCAGGGAAGGTTGTTTTGCATGAAGAAAACATCCTCTTGCTATTAAGTTTAGCTTTCCACATCACTCATTTACGCGAGGGGTTTTTCTTGATGTGCAGGAAACTGGAAAGAAAAGTGAGGTTCTGTGTCGCCGCGAGGTGCCTCTTCTTGGTCGGCATGCACGGAGTTGTGGGATTTCCACGTGCTCCTTAGTTACTGTGCGGTGCCAAGGAACAAACGGGAAGTAGAAGTCAAGTGCAGCTCTACCAGTTGCTCTGTCGGTTTAGCGAGTTAAAACGCTCTGATTAATTTGTTTTGGAAGTCAACCAAGTCTACCCATGCCAACGTAAACTTTCAGAGAGTTTGATATTTCCTGATTCAACAAATGATTTTCACACAGAAATGATGAACTTTTTATAAGCAGTACATGCAAAATATTTCAACCAGGCGAAACACTTTACCATTATTTCGTAATTTTTAAGGTGGACTTCTCAACAGCTCTCAGGATGAGCGAGTGATTGAGGGTAGTCGCGTTTTTATTTCTTTTTTGGCTCTTCTTTAACATATGCAATATCATCCTCACAAGGAACGTTATTCGTAATTGTTTCAACAACTAACTAAATTTTGTTTGGTCTGTTAGAGACAGTCATGTCGATTGAGACAGATAAGGGAAAGAGCTGTTCAAATACTATCAAAATAGACTGAATCCACAAGTTTTTCTGGCTACTTTAGGAGTTCCATTAAACCTAAAATAAATTTTTGTTGGTTATAAATCTGTCTCGGTTAATGTCTGGTTATTCCACCATACAAAGGGCAATTTCTCAACTCCAACTGGAAGACACGTTGGCCGCTTGCTAGTTAATGCGCTGGACCCCAGGCAGAAGTGTCCGGGTTCGAGATCTATGCCCAATTGTTCGAAGACCGATTAGCGCTACCCCTGGAATAATAGTAAATGAATCTAGTACAGTATAAAACTTGGCTCGCTTTTCTGTACAAATCTGGTTATCTCTTCAATGTCGAAGAAAAATGTAAATAAGACTTTTATACCAAGTCTTTTCCTCTCATTCCGATCTAGTAATGCCACTTTACAAGAGCCAAATGAAACGTGGCAAGAATTACGTTATTTCCCAACCAACTAGACTCATATAACGCTTTTCTTTAATATTCTCGGTTTTTGTTTGAACTCGTCTCGGTTAAAACTAAACATTGATATCCACCTTCGGGTCTTTATTTACTCCAATTAGTTGGCAGAAAATCAATTTCGCTAAATTCTTAAATTAACACCCAAAGAAATTTATTCAATAATAAATATTGTTCCCTTTTCGTTATAAAGTTGACCAATGTCCAATGACAGAAAACCGTTTTTTTCTTCTACTTGTGATACCTTCCATTTCACACCTAACCCGTAAAAACCCATGGGAGATCGAGGGGCGCAAAGGCTTGTTAAAAATCCTCTAATTCACTTAAGTTTTCTTTACGTAGGCCCTGTTGCATCGCGTCATCTTTTACAAAGAGTCTTTTTTTTTCATGCAGATAAAGGAATTAGAATTATTTTTTTTTATTTAATTGTTACTTTCATTCATTTTGTTATCAAACAGACTTTTTATTAAATTAAATGTCTGATTTATGAGGGTTGCCAAATCTCATAAACTTCTTTAAACAAAACAAACTTGTGAACAAAAAAATGAAAAGTTCTCTTTGAATCATTAAAGCCTTGTTAATCAACGAGGCCACTGGTGATGGTATCTGTGACGTTTGATTGAGTTAAAAGACCAATGAAACAAACGTTCCTTTTCACTACAAAATGACACTACTAGTAGTATCCATGCGTTAGACCCTATGGAGTCTCAGTAGCAGTACCAGGCCGAAACCTAAGTACTGAACAATTCCTTCCAGGAATAACGCAAGAATGGATTCAGAGGACATTCTTCTCATATGGCAGTCAAACCTATATAAAGTGTATAGATGGTATCTTCTGTTATGTATTAATTAAGGTGTATCCACCCTTTTAAAAAGCAACCACCGTTATTATCCAAAATTAAACTCGGTTTTTGAATTGAATTAAATTTAACTTGAACTAATATGTTCCAAAACGCTTTATTTGTTGTATTGAAAACACACAATCGACATTGAGAAGGCTTTATTCGTTTTCTGCCGGCAAATAATTGCTGATCTAACATTTGAAAAACACTTTTTAGTATAAGAGCAATGATACAGATGGCAATAGGGAATAAAAAAGGAGAGAGGTAACAGTTAACAAACCAACAAATGAATGGGATTAGATTAGATCTAAGGAGAACAATTTTGAAATAGCCCTCAAAAATGTGATAGAAAGCAGGCAGAATTTCAATTTAAATACGATTTTTTTTTAATTTTGGACATTTTAGAAATTTTTTAGCAATATTAGAAGATATACACAGATATCTATTTAATTTAACAAAGATGGTTACTATTTATTCTTACTATTCCGACTGTTTATGTGTTGGGATATAACTAAAATGGACCGCGTTATAACCTGGCCAGAATAGGTTTGTTCCAACGAGCAGAGTCAGAAACCTCCAAAACTTGTAACTTTGCCATGTGTTTCGAAATCTCCGTCAAACTCTAATGACGACGAAACCTTCACGAAACTCAAAAGACCTTCTCTTTCAACTTATTTTGCGTGCAGCTGTATAAATTGATCACATTCCACGGCTGTTTTTAAATCAACTAAGCCAGTTAGAGGACCAATTTTAATTAAGGACAATTCTAAGGAGTAAACATATGACAAGTGTCCTTTCTGTTAATAATAAAAAACAATTTAATTTGAGTGCTTGAGTATAAAAGAAGAGAAAGGAAGCCTTATTCATTACTAGCAAATTTTATCCGCGCGAATCAGGCAACAAAGGTTGACAAGAAACCAGCGAAGAGCTACAGACATGAGGACCTTTGTTGTGTTCTGCTTTTTGATGGCTTTCGTGATTGCCTCCCAGGCGCAGAGAGTACCAGAGGCCACAGAAATGGATGAAGACGAATTAGCAGCTTTTGATGAGGAGCTGAAACTAGCCTCTGGAGCCGAAGATGTCCCTGAATTCACAAGAGACTCAAAAAATCCAGCTGTAGGTCAGTTCGTCATTAAAAGTGTTTTTTGATAGATTTAATTTATCTTAATGCTCTCTAACCAAAACTTTCTTATTTTGGTTCTTTCCATTTTAATGGTATTCCATCAAGGGCCTGAAATTAGAAGATAGAAAGTCACTTTTCCTTTCTCACTTAAGTAGAATCTTTCAAATTGAATGCAATTTTACATTGAAGAAAAGATAGCATGCGACCTCATATTTGCTAAGTCCGAGATATTGTTTAATTCTGGAGGTTGACCCGTTCAGAGAACTACGATAATTAGCATTGGAGAGTTCAGCCGGGAAACAGTTTTAAGACCAAATGAGCTTGTTTAAAATCCGATACTTAATTAAATTTAAGAGATCAAACCGAAAAGATCATTGTAGTAGTAATTCTCGACGCACAATTTTGCTGGTGGTAAGCACGAACACCCCAGATTACCTCCAGAACAAATGTACATAAGGTGATTTCAAAACCGACACAAGCAAAGCAGATCTTGATGTTAACATGGAAAGGATTCCTAAATCATGAATTTCTTGCTTATCATCTCTTTGTTGGTTTTTTTTTTAAACCACTTACAGATGCAAGGAAGAAGTAAAGATTGGAGACAACGGTGAACATGATGATTGCAAACGAATTAATCAATTATCCTCAAAATGTGAATTATGTATTTTGGATATACTGAATGATTTATGATTTGTGAAGCCTTTTTCAACTTGATGTGACACTTAATAAATTTGAACGATAAATTCTGCCTACAAAAGCCCTTTTCTTATATTTTGTCCTTTTTTAATCACCTTTCGATTGACTTTCTTCCATCATCCTTTAAAACGGTTAATACTCCGTACAGACGTTGTTTCTGGGTCCTTGTGGGTTTTACCAGTATTACATGCAATCTTTAAATCAATTACCGCTTGGAAATTGAACATTTCCCTTAGTTGTTAGTGTTTGGAATACGAAAGATGCTAAATTTGCGCTGAGTATTGGAAGTTAGAGTAATTCGTCTCGTGATGAGCTTGGGACAAACAAAACTTTATCGCAAAAAAATAAAAAATAAATTGTCTTTAACATATGCCTCTCCAATTGTAGGTCTCTCTTCTACGTCAGCAGCTCGCATCATCTTAATCCCAATTAAAGGCATTCCTCTGGAGACATCCCTGCTCATAGCCCACTTTTATTTGAATTATTGCATTACCACAAGTCAATCAATGATATAGTAAGTTTTCCACAGTGTAACTGCCCAGGTTAAACCCTAAGTTTACTAAGAAATAAAATGCGAAAACGTACCACTGTTCCTCCCCTTGACCAAATTTAACTTGAGAAAGGAAATCATCTCGTCTTCTCCTCACTTCTGCCCAACCAATTACTAAATTTGCTCTGAGCCCCCCCCCCCTCTCCCCCTCCATTCAGTCTTCCTATAATACTGACGAGGAGAACTTGTTTAACAATCAAGAGCTTCTTAAATCAGTGATCATTTCCTTTACTCTCATGACCTTTACATTTGATTCAAGGATGATAATCTAAGGAGAAATTAGAAGCCAGACACACTAAGGGGTTAAAGGGTTAAAGATTTGATTTCTACAAGACCAGCCTGCAAGGTATGTCAACATTTTTTCAGACATTCTTATTCAATGCCATTTTCATCAAAAGTAAATTTGAGAAAAGATACTAAAGTGATTCTGTCTAAATCTGACTTTTTCTCCCCTTTGATCATTCAGAAAATACTCATTTCCCTCGACCAGTATCTCTACAATGGTTGCAACCATGGCTGTTGGATTGATTTGTCCTGATCATTACAGTGCATTGCATATGCATTGCATGTACATTGCATACCAGTGGTGCAAAGTAATAGCCCAAGGGCCTTATAGTGCGCATACTAAGAAATGTAACCCAGCAACATCAATGGAGTTTAACGCATGTCACAGGGTTCCCTCATTGCCTTGTACTAGGCGACTTTTCAACCTCCAAATGTCCTGAGAGAAAAAAGAATTATGATATTAATTACACTATTTTTGAGATCATTGTGGTGACATCTGACCCAGAGTACCATAAAAATAATAATAAACAAGACATTAAATATTTTCTCTCATACCTCAAAAGACAAATCAATATCTGCACCAAACTTCTTATGTACAATTTCTAAGGATTCAGCCTCGATGCCCTCTTGAATTGTTCCCTTGACATCAATATAATAGCAGTGTGAGCTGGCAAAGTGCCCTGATATAGCCTTAAATAAAAATTTAAAAAGTGAAAGTTAAGTCTGTACTCTTAATAATGAAAATAATAAAAATAAACTTTATTTAACAAGGGTAACATCAATTACTGATAACTAAGTCGTGTCCTCCATAGGAGGAAAGATATTCAAAACTATGGCCAATACCAATTTTGTAAAGAGGAGAAACATATAGTTGATATTCTTGTGCAAATGATGGCTAAGTGGTCCATCTAGTCAGAGCTAGTCCCAATTTCTTTATCATGAAGTGATTAGCAATATTGCTTCTCTCCCTCTCCCTGCAACATTACCCATCTCTATCCAGGATTTTTTCAGATCTTCCTGACAGTTCATCAGTACCCATTTATACTCCAGAGTGGAGAGGAGCACTTTGGGATGAAGATACCCTACCCAAAAACACAATACAATGTCCCAACAAAGTTACATGTACGACACTTAACATCTCAACCTTTAAAAAAAGTGGGATTCATGATGCTATCTTGATGAGCTTAACAATGGATAACAATTAACTTTAACCCTAATAGTTGATCCTTCCACCCCCCAGATCTGAATATCTATTCTCAACACTGTTTTCCATACATTTCTTATCATTTCAAACACAGAGAACTTTGGTGATACTTTTAATCGCCTTTCTGCTTAAAATCTAATGGTAATCTAAGGAAAAATCAAGTTTTGATCACTCTTGCTAGTGAAAGGGTTAACTCTAATATTCTCTAACAAATAAATAAACAAAAATTGCAAACAAAAATGTAAGTGATTGTATCATGTTGTCCTTCAGTAGTGCAACTTGTATTTCAAAATGGTAAAATAGTTTCCAGTGAGGCCTCAATTAAACTACTACAAAAATCAAAAACAAGTTAAGGATATTGATGACATTCAGGGCCAATACTTTTAAATTATTTTCCATGTCAAAATATGCAATAGATTTCAGAGTGTTGACATAACTTGACATGTGGTCCCCCAAAGATGTGAAATCTGTTTCAGGGTGAATGTGGCTTCTCTGAAAAAATTTATAGAGTATTTAACTTGATGGAATGCTTTGAAATTTGGTTCAAAGACTCCCACAATACCAACCTAAAGAACCACCAGGGAGAATTCCGTTTTTCAAAATGGATCTCCCTCAATGGCATCTGAAGCAATGCATAACAGAAAAATTTTGATCAGCAAACTTGACAGATGAATTGTAAAGCAACCAATCAGAATATTGAAAAACCCTTATATGGTCTTGAAAATCAACTCTTCAGGATTGGAATTGTGCATGAAGTTTTATTTCTGCAGTCAGATTTGATATGCAATTGATTTGCTCAAAGAAAGTCTTTGATATTAAATTGTTGCACCTCATTCAGTTTACTATTAGATCAAGCTAAAACGAAACAGCTTTTACCAAATAGGGCACTTAATATCCTTTTCATTGATATATAGTTTATGGGGGTTATGCTTCAAATAGCCTATCAAAATTTTTTTCACAAAGGACACCCACAAGGGTCTGCCATATCCTTAAATATAGAAAGTCTCTCAGCTTTTGCCAATCCATGGCATTCTCAGGGATTCTTGATAATGCTGTAAATCAGAAAAAAACTCAGAAACTTGATTTAACCTTTTTTTTTCTCATTTTTACATTAGTTTAGGGCCTCACTAGAAACTTTTTTACCAAAATATGTACGCAGTATAAAGAGAAACAACATACCTTCCTGAATCCATTTGTTTGGTTTGCTCCTGAGCCATGGATAAGAAGAGGATGAAAGAAAACTGTGTCCCCTGCATTCATCTCCAAGTGTACCAATGGAATGCTGGGATCATAATCTTTTATTCCATGATACATTACATTGACTCCTCCCTAGAAAACATCAGTGTTTTTAGAATTCTTGCTTAATTTGGTATTAAAATTGCCCCATCATTAGTTTTTTTCGTAAGTTCAGTGTTCTCCCTTATTTTAAGCATGACAGGTGAAATAAATTTTGAAACTGGTAAAGCAATTCTTTTACCTGTTGACTTTCAAGAATTTCAGGCAATTTTAATTGGTAATAAGGGGTGCTACAGGCAGTAAATGTTACCAATTACCACCTGAAAAGGAGAACTCTGAAGTCCGAGATAAGAAATTGATACCACTTTCTTCTTTGAAAACACTGGTCCATGTGAATGTAAAAGGGACTTGGCATACATGGAACATTTTCTGTGATTTTCTGTTGAGATTTTAAATTTCAACTTTCTGCTTAATCATGCCGTAAAGATTTAATTTTGTACACACTGTGGGACAATGGAAAAGAGATTGCAAAATGAGCTCATCAATACAGTCACGAATAAAACTCATGGACATTGCTGCAGTAAACAATCAGCTATAACTGTACGTAACATAATGACGCTCTACATTGTGCTTTGCTTGGGTGGTCTTTAACCTAGACAACAACAAATAACTACCCAGAATGTTACAATGATGGGTTTCTCTTACCTCCCATTCAGGGTAGAAGTGCTGCAGAAGCGGGCTGTACTGGGTACCCGGTTGTACTATTAGACAGCCATTCCGCCTATGGACCCTTTCCATTGCTGTCCAGGAACATACCATTCGATTGGCTGGACGGAAGGGAAAGTAATGCAAATCCTGATGGAGAGGGTGGCGTGAGGTCATTGTCCCAGGATCTGGTGGTTTGTTTATTAGCATAGTGTGCATCGATTTGATGTCAGGTCCCGTAAAACATGCCACGTACTTCAAAATCCCTGGTAGTTGGCAGTAGCTGAAGAGGACCTCGTCCTCTTCGAAATTCTGAAGTTTATTGATGGTTTTCTCGCCAGATAAGCGGTTCGACTTGACAAATGTAACATCTTTCATTACAGTCATACTAGGCACGCGCACCTCCCCGTTACAAATTTGTTGAAAACGATGGAGATACTTATCAAGTAGCTCTTGGGGTACTAGATTTCGCACAACCAGGTAGCCATTCTTGTTGTAGAAATCTATTTCTTCTTCGGTCAAAACATCGTTTGGCACCACCAGACTATCAATTTCAACCCCCACTGCGGCCATTTCTGAATTTTCTGGTGACTTTAGATGAAATCTCGAAGGGGATAGATGTTGTTTAATTACCTCCAACCTGCTTCTCGCAGTATCGGCCATAGTTTTGAAGAATGGCTACAAACTGAGGCATTGTGGGTAAAGGTCATATGATATGATCTCTTAGTCACACCCTCGGTTACACCTCCGTCGCCCGGTAAGGCGTAAAAAATTAAATGGTACGTAGATGGCGCGTAAAGCCTCCTTTACATTACTAACAAATGAAAAATCACAATTCTTACATAATTACTATTAAAAAACGTTGACCGAAAAAAAAAGGAACACAGGTAACACAAAAAAAATCTGATGATGCAAAGAGTACCATTGTTACTTGTAAACCAGATTTGAATATTTATTGTAAAGACTTTTTTTCCTGCCAAAGCAATTTGCAGTATTTTTTACTTTAAACATGTTCAAAAATGCTGATATCACTGGAGCAGATCAAAAGTAATAATGACCCTATACAGGCGAACATCAATACGCATATTCTCCGGATTAGATACTAGGCACTCAGTCTTAGGGATCATGAAAAATGGATATAACTATATTTACCGAAACACTTGTTATTTTAGCTGCCAAAGAACGAATTTTAATCAAATCAAAATTCCCAGACAAGAAAAATTTTAATTGTTTGAAAAGAGTTAAAAATATATCAAGAGTTATTTAAAATTCACTCGAAATTAAAATGCAGAGAACTTTTCGATTGCGATATAAATTAAATGCGCGAAAGCCTTAACGTCATAGCGATGTCATAATCAAAAGCGTGGTTTTAATCTTTGTCTTTTCAACTCACCCATCATCGCATTTCAATCTTCTCGTACCCGTTACCACGGCACATACTCTCCTTCCTTAAGGCATTGGGATCAATGTCAGTATCAACGCAACTGCGCACCTACCCCACTCTTAACCCAAAAATAGTCAACTGATGGTAAGGTGGGGTTAATGTTGGGTTAAGGGAGGGGTAAGCGCGCAGTTGCCCAGATACTGACATTTATCCTATGAAAACTATTGTATGTTTGACTTACATTGATAACTCTTTCTCTCTCTCGATAAGTTTTAAAAGTCTATTCTCTTTATCTTTGCAATCAAAATCGCTGTTCCAAAAAGGCTTGAAATATCTTTATAAAATTGGGGTTAAGGTATTCATTGTGAAGAGCATCACATATGTCACAGGCTGTATCTTTTAACCCCAAAATGCCTGCATAGGCGACTTCTGGTTTCCATGCGAAGTATTCACTATAAGCAGTGTCATTTTTGTCTAAGTACACCAAGTATTCTGTCAAAGCCTTTACGGATAAAAAATATTGCACACTTATAAACGAGCCTGGAGGGACTACATCTGGGGTTTAGAGGTAGGGAGAAACACTCGACTACGTCTCGTGTTCCTTCCTACATCTCATTGCAACAACAGGATAAAGGGCTATCTACAATCAGCGCAAAGTTAGTTGACACTTTGAGCCGGTTTTTTGCACAAGGTGTAACCCAAACCACGGTTTTACGCAATCACTGGTCCTCAGACTTTCTCTATAAAAGGGTTGATTTTATTAAACAAATGTCTTTCCACTGTTAACTTTCTGCCTTCTTGACGCTTTTCACAAAAATAAATTTTCAGAAAGAGGGTACAGCTAAATTGAGGTTTGTTTAGGACACGGTTTTGTTAAAAAACGGCTTAACTTTGTTTATATAACCGGTCGATTGTGTTTGAATAGTTTATGTATGTGTACAACACTGACCACTGGTTTTACCACGCTCTAAATCATTGACAACACCCCCTCACCCATTGAATGTTGCAGGTATGTAGCTCAAAGCTCACAGAATCACGATACAACATTGTTTTGGGGGGAATTGGGAAAAAAGGTTGACTTAACAGGGGCAAAAGGATCTAATTGAAGTAATAGGGGGTTTTAAAGGTCAATGTGTCAATAATTTTGTCACCGATTATAGATAAAAAGTATAAGTTACCTTTTAGCGAAAAAGAAAATGGTAGAGATTGAACCACCCGCAAAGCATCATTGAACCCCTGAATGCATAGATTTTCTCCGTTTTGTCCCTTCCTTATTTTTATTAACTTATTCTCACATCTTTTTATTTATTTGTTTATCTATGAATCTTTTTACCTGCTTCATTTCTAATCTGCTGACCAGAATAATAATAATAATTTTGCGATTCCAAAAACAGTTATTTTAGATACGTGACCAATGGGTATGAATTTTGAGACTAAGTGACGCTGATCAATCGAGAATTTAGCACTGGTATAGAAATACTTGACTTCCTTTCGGATACGCTTCTATAACGCGCAAAAACCATAAGCTGTTTTCTTTAAAATTTTGAAATAAATTCGTAAACATTTATGGCTTTTACTGATTTCCTCAATCCACTCCATTTATAATTTGATCTGTTAATCTAATCTTCCTATTGCCCCTTCTATAACTGAAAGTTGAAATTTTCCTTCTCAAAATTTTAACATTGCATCGATCTATAAAAAAACGTAGCTGTCTCAACTCCCTTTACATCATCAAAAGGTTCACTAGCTTTTCAAATGTTTGACATCTTACGGGCAGGTTATGCGGTAGGTTTGCTTGTTGAGTCACATCATAAGGTAGAGTTCCCAACTTTTTTCCCTTTTTACTTTTGTTTTGGTTTGTTTATTCTCTGACGCGTACACCACTCATCCCATAGACTCCACTGAGCATGTCAGCCCTGAAAGTAACAGATACTCGGCACACTCCCACGCGGTAAGGCGTCAGTTTGAAAGTTGTTTGAGCCTCCTTTCCTTCTGGCACAATTGCACTGAAATAAAAGAAAAAAACCTGAATAGTTTTACTTTTAACTTTAAAAATTATCTTTTAATTTCTATGGAGAGTTTAAAATTTTCGATTAAAATCAACCTTGGGTTCAAATTATCTCAAGAAAAACACCTGGAAAAAGATACCTGGGCCAGCGAATGATGGCTTTTGCAAAGCAACGGGGCAAGTAAAGCCGGCTAAAGAGTGTCGTTAAAACGTTATACCCTAATGGCAATGGATCGGAAGAAGCATTCTCCAACCACAGTGCCAGAGCAATTGTGTCGAATTCAAGGCCTGGAAGGTTTTATCATGGTAAATTCGTCAAAGAGGATGGTAATATGCTTCACCTCGCTACAGGCTCAAACGTGTCGAGTAGTACAAATTGTCTTTCGTACGGCTGTGAACTTCACGGAGAATACTTACGAATTAGGAATTTCTTTAGATTTTGGGTTGGCACCCGATGTCTCAATGTACCATTTTCCTCCACTGATTCTGACTGGCAAAGGATTTACAAAGGAAACCTTGACCTCAAAGTCTTGGCCTACCCTGGCCTCGCCCCGAGTGATCTGAAAGGATATCAAAATAAGATAATCTTGAAATTACATTAACTATTCAAAATCAATAACCCTGGGGGTAAAACCGTGAATACAGCTAAGATCAGCCGTTCTCTGTGATTTAGTACCGAACAAATAGATGTGGAAGCCACCTGATTTATATAATTAAATGAAACAGACAAAATTACTGCACTGCCTCGCAACACTCGTCGATTAGAAATTGTACCAGTTAAAGCACTTTTTATGGCCGCAAACTGAAATTCCCTTTATATCTTGCTCTTATTTTTTTCCTTTTGTCAGTAAACAGTTCCTGAATGTGACTTTTCAGATCTTGCTTTTTTTTCATACTTGTACGCAATATGATTGGCCAAACATACTAATAACAACGTCATGCGCACATGTATACAGTAATAGGTATGCAACGAGTCGATCACAGATCGCTTCGAATCCATCCTATTTTACAATATGTAAGGGTGCTTAACTCGATCCAAGCTTGCATATAGAAAAAGGTCATACAGATTGACGGGCTGTACAAGTGTGAGTGGAGAAGTCTCCATGTTTACCACCGTTAGTGTCTCACCCAAGGACGTCCCCGCAAATTTAGGAAGCTTTTTAAATACTTTTCAGTGCACCTAATATCCCGGTCACTGCCAAAAAAAATTGGGTTCGGTTCAAGTCATTTGGGAGTTAACATACCTCCATGTTTATTTGCGGTTTCTGGAATTCAATCGTGTCATACGAAGCGAATCTCTGCTCACTCTCTTTCACTGTCGCTTTGACATAGATCTTTAAACCTCCATCGGCTTTACATTTGTCAAGATACAGAGCCGCAGGAATATCCACGACAAAGCTCCTCTCTACAACAGAGTGAATGGCCGGTAAAGTGATTAGGAGACAGAAACTTTTGTCTCAGCAAGGAATTCAAGTACAAAGATATATTCGCCACTTACCTTCCCACGGGTCTAAAGTGATCTCAAAGTCTTCCTCTTTCAAATCTTCACAAGAAATTCCTGTGTAGAATCCAATCATGGCAGAAATCTTTCCCCCGACTGTGCGACTTTTGTAAGTGGTGTTTTTCATCTTCAGTGACACACTTACATTCTTTCCTATGGGCACATCATCCGGCATTTCGAATGAGAACTTGACGTCCTCCGTGGGTAGTCCGTAAATAGCTTGATCCTTGCGGCTGCTGTACTTGTATGCCATTTCCACAGCTCTGCGCTCCTGGACGGAACCTAATTACGTTTGAAATGGTAAATAAGGTAGAACAATGACTTATCAATAAATTGTTCTTTTCAAGTAAACGGCAGAATAATGAGTCATTCCTGTTACAAATGGGCACGTCAAAATTAGGTGACGGCAACTTAGCGCTAAAGAGTTCGGGGGAAAACAGCACTAATAGGTTGCCTACCTAATAATTTGATGAAATGCTACCTAGTTTTTTTTACAGTCGAACGTTCTCTTGTTCTATTGCCTCATCTCGCAAATTCTCCATTCGTTAATTGGGTAACGAAGTAATGACATCAGTGAATCTCCTGCTAGCTATTTCATTTTACTCTCTTCCAATCGAGAAACCCTTAATTACAAAAAATAAACCTTAAGAAATGATGTGCGCATACTGATTACAAAAACCAAACCACGTTATGCGAATCTCTGAGCCCCTAGAATGTATTTTGGCAAAATGTCAGCCGGACCCACCATGAAAAATGATTGAGTGCCCGAGAAA